TACAGATTTACTTTTGATCTTACTCGTGTACGCCGACATCAACCTTATAAGCAAGACAAATTTACTTTCCTATTTTGCAATTCAAGTCTAATTAAGTGATTGGTTTAATTTGGTGATGAACATCAGAAAAAGACGTTTTTTTTATATATGGTGCCTGTCATCACTTTATTACTTGCCTCTAACTTTTCCTTTGGCAATAACCATTCTTTTTACCTCTTTTTATTTATTTATAAATAACGAACAGCTACTTACTTAATGATATGTAAATCGTTATTTCTTGTCAAACCTGATATCTATATAATACCGATCTGTAAAGAAATTATGTATAAATAGTCATCAAACAAGTTTCTTTATTTATAAATCAGGCAGACAACTACAATTCATTATTTATAAATAATGGACTACACCTGCAGAGTAAATTCATTATTTGTAAATACTGGAGTTCACCTTTATGCTGGCAAAACCATTATTTATACATAATGAAGTTAAACTGGATTGTGAATTCAGTTTTTATAAATCACGAAGTTTCATCTCGCCGAGAATCTATTATTTGTAAATAATGAAGTTAACCTCTGTGGTGGCAAATCTATTACTTACAAATAATGAAGTTAACCTTCATGCTGGCCTATGGGGCGCCGTTTGTAAAAAAAAATGATTTAGCTTAATTTTGTCATTTTTTTCGTTATTTATTGAATAAAGTTTTCTGATATGATATCATACGTCAATGATTTGATATAATAAATGTTGATTTCAAATCATGCGTTTATGATTTGATATAATAAATGTTGATTTCAAATCTTGCGTTTATGATTTGATGTAATAAATTCTGATTTCAAATCATACCTTTATGATTTGATATAATAAATTATTTTTTCAAATCATACCTTTAAGATTTGATATAATAAATATTGATTTCAAATCATAAGTTTATGATTTGATATAATAAATCCTGATTTCAAATCATAAGTTTATGATTTGATATAATAAATCCTGATTTCAAATCATTCGTTTATGATTTGATATAGTAAATCCTGATTTCAAATCATAAGTTTATGATTTCATATAACGAGTTCTGATTTTAAATCATAAGTTTATGATTTGATATAATAAATCCTGATTTCAAATCATAAGTATATGATTTCATATAATAAATATCATTATTTGATATCAGTAAAACCATGATTTAATGTAATAAGTAACAGTGTGACTTGGCACGTGGGTTACTAGCGCGGGAATAATCGTAAAGATGGCGACACAACCAGATCAGCTATCGAGGTCAATCGCTTCTGCGGTCTCTAGAGCCGTAGAAAGGGCGGTTGACCAAGCTTTGGCATCCCTTCCGAGCCTTCCTGGCAATTCAGGTTTTGTTCCTGCGACACAAGAGGTATGTAACATTGATGTATCACTGCTAAAGCATCCCAGTCGCTTCCGGGGTGATGACCGGTGTGTCGATGTGATTAACAAAAAAATCGTTATTGATGTCGTCCAAGCGCCTCATCTATTTCTTACATGTTGCACTGCATCATTAGTTAAGGGGGTTGCATGTTAATCGGAAAGCTATAACTATATTTACGAGGGAAAGAGGACTTTTGGACCTTTCGCTTGTCTGGCGCATTGCGTGACACATACGGCTCATGGTTAATACCATGTCAGTTAAATTAGATGTGTTTGCTTCCTTTTTTATGTCCTTTTGGTAGCCATACTAAAATAACATACAGTGAATGATTGTTTTTATTTCACAAAGTAAGGCGAGAAACTGATTTACCTGTCATAGTCATAGCTTTCCGATTAACGTGCAATCCTCTTAACTAATGATGCAGTGCAACATGTAAGAAATAGATGAGGTGCTTGGAAGACATCAATAATGATTTTTTTGTTAATCACATCGACACACAGGTCATCACCCCGGCAGCGACTGGGATGCTTTAGCAGTGATACATCAATGTTACATACCTCTTGTGTCGCAGGAACAAAACCTGAATTGCCAGGAAGGCTCGGAAGGGATGCCAAAGCTTGGTCAACCGCCCTTTCTACGGCTCTAGAGACCGCAGAAGCGATTCACCTCGATAGCTGATCTGGTTGTGTCGCCATCTTTACGATTATTCCCGCGCTAGTAACCCACGTGCCAAGTCACGTGGTTACTTATTACTTATTAAATTAAATCATGGTTTTACTGATATCAAATAATGATTTTTATTATATGAAATCATATACTTATGATTTGAAATCAGGATTTATTATATCAAATCATAAAACTTATGATTTAAAATCAGAACTTATTATATGAAATCATAAACTTATGATTTGAAATCAGGATTTACTATATCAAATCATAAACGAATGATTTGAAATCAGCATTTATTATATCAAATCATAAACTTATGATTTGAAATCAATATTTATTATATCAAATCTTAAAGGTATGATTTGAAAAAATAATTTATCATATCAAATCATAAACTTATGATTTAAAATCAGAACTTATTATATGAAATCATAAACTTATGATTTGAAATCAGAATTTATTGTATCAAATCATAAACGCATGATTTTAAATAATAATTTATTATATCAAATCATAAACGCATGATTTGAAATTAAGATTTATTATATCAAATCATTGACGTGTGATATCATATCAGAAAACTTTATTTAATAAATAACGAAAAAAATGACAAAATTAAGCTAAATCATTTTTTTACAAACGGCGCCCCATCCTATGCCCTTTTTGTGTAATTTCATTATTTAAAAATAATGAAGTTTCATCTCGCCGAGTGTAAATTTATTATTTGTAAAAAATGGATTTTGTCGCGTCGCTGGTCAATTAATTTTTGACTCACCAGCGCGCCAAAACTGTATTTTATTCCATGGAAATGGCGGGAATTCTTAGCCTTCCGAGTCGAGTCTGGTGATCAAGACCTTACGCGCTCCCTCTCAGAGGCCGTTTCTCGAGCCGTCAGCGAGACAGTGAGTGCTGTTCTTGCCCGGGTAAGCATCTAGCTTGAACTTCAGTCTTTTGAGATTGCTTTGAATGCGCGGGTTACGTCTTATTAATTTTATGCCGTTTTCTCAGAATTCCCCAGCAAACCAACGTGACCAACATGTCCCGGCACATGTGCAGCCGACGGATACTTCAACGCCGACATCAACGATTCAACAGGTAAGTTCTGTTGCAAGAAATCTTTGCAAGGAAGGGAATAAAGATCATCTAACAATGGAAAATCATCACCATGTAAGTTCTTGCAATAGACTATTCATTGTTGCTTAAAGGCCGGGGGGGGTACTCCCATACATTACCTATACGGGCTTGTGTCGCCCAAAGGGGTCGTGATTTTGAAGCTCCTGGTTTAGAACGGGGTATCCATTTTAGACGCGGTTTCTAGAACGGGGTATAATATTTCGAACGCACGAAAGCTTTCCACTTTTGTAAGCAGCCATTTGAAAGCATTCAAGGACAGATTGCTTTTAAAAATACGGTTCAGTGCGTTAACAAGCAAGCCGTTGTACTCTTGTTGCACCCTAGAACGGAGTATAAAAAATTGGCCCATTTCTAGAACGGGGTGTTAGTTTTAGGGCGAATTCTAGAACGGGGTATAAAAAATTGGCCTATTTCTAGAACGGGGTATCAATTTTAGGGGAAATTTTTTTTAGAACGGGGTGCCAATTTGGAGTCCCGGGCGGCACATACCCACCCAAAAAATACCCAAGTGCCCCCCCACCCGGGCTTAAAGGTCAGCTCTGCTATTAACCTGGCCTATCGTCCGACGAAAACCGTTGCGTGACACTTTTGCTTGTCGTACCGGCCTAATATTTAACGAATCAGGGTCGTGAGAAAATGTCTCCTTTCGTAAACAAGTAGCGAAATAAATGGTTTTGACTTAAAACAGGGTTTGATAGAGTTTGAAGGCCTTGGCGGAATCGGCCGCGATTAATCTTCCCTTGAGTACACCCCCTAGATCGATTTTGACCTTTTAATAGTCACGTAATTTCCCATTGAGCATCTAGGATATTAGAATTGCTCGAGTTTACAACACCACCACCTAAATTTCTCCCTGTGTGGTGACACCTCTGCTATTTTCTGGTATTTTCCGAGACATAGCGTCGCGTGACACTTTTGTCTTACGCAGTACGAGCCGTGCATTAAAACCGCCCCAGGCGGCGAGAAATGTACGTCAGGTCTGATTAATCGTCTTTTCCTCGCAATATTATAGTCAGCTTCCAGTGACCAACTAACTACTGCAGCTTGCAATCAGGCAGGTTCAAGCAATGGAGTAAACTTGCATCAAATTCGGTAAGTTACTAGCTACGCTACGACATTTAGCCTGCAAAAGCAGGCGTATTTAGCAGCGCGATCCCAACCTCTTCCCTGACCCTAATCTAACCTCGACCCTAGGGACGAGGTTGGCGAGATCCACGTTTTTTTTTTTATTCGGTAATGACAGTTGGGACGAGTCAAAAACTGATTTTCTTGGCTTTTCAAGATTTCGGCCACTATCCCAATCCCGATCAATGTACCTCTGATTTTCCGTTAAAAAACGCCCGCCCTACAGGTATACTACATATTATCATTGTGAATGTCTCCTAAATATTATTGAGAGAATACATTATTCCTAGCAAATTGTAAATTTGAGGACTGTTTCAATTCTGGGAATTATTATTTATTATTATTAACTATTGTATTCATGTGAAGTGACTTATCATAACGCTACCCATCCTTTTAATTTTGTTGTTTTTCAATTATAAGAAGGTCTTATAAGATGCTGTGATAAAGACTTTTCGGATTATAGTACTGAAGTGGAGTCAAACGGTCATGCCAGCCCTCTTTCTAGGCTGATAAGGCAAGGGGGGGGACGGGTGGTCCCAAAAAACTTTTTTCCGGCCCTTCGCGATTCGGGCCTCAGTTTGGTCCAAAATTAAGGGGGGCTTCCCCTTGATCCGCCACTGATAATTATTTGTAAGCTATTAATCACGACAACCAATGAAATACTTTCTGTTAATTTAGGAAAGCAGGAAGACCTTCAAAGGCCTTATCCAAAGAGCGATTGGAAGGGTTGCTACGGCTTAAGATACCGGTTTCCCGTATTGCCGAAGACTTACAGGTATCCCGTCCTACAGTGTATAAAGCGATAGCCGAATACAATCTACAAGAAACCCGTCACTCTGATATTCAGCATGCTGTCTCTTCTATCAAGGGGAATCATCCCAATGCCGGCGAGGTTATGCTGCAAGGTCACCTTAGAGCCCAAGGAATCAATGTTCAGCGCAGCAAAATACGCAAGGCTATACATGACTTAGATCCCTCTGTAACAACAAGGTAGAGGCCAGCAATTCGGTGACGTGTTTACTCCTTGCCTTATCCTAAATATTTGTGGCACCTTGACGGTAACCACAAATTAATTAGATGGAGGTTTGTGATACATCACTGTATCGATGGTTTTAGCCGCCTCATAACGTTCTGCCGCTGCTCAACAAACAATAAGTCAGAAACTGTTCTTTCTTTCAACGAAGCTATTCGCAGGTACGGCAGACCACAGCGAGTCCGCAGTGACCATGGTGGAGAGAATGTTTTGGTGTGGAGGGATATGACGTCGGCTTGGGGAGAGGATGCAAGGTCTGTTATTGTCGGGTCCTCGGTATATAATCAGAAGATAGAACGACATAACCGATCAGTTAACGAACACGAGCTATCAGTTTTCAAGTCCGAATTTTATGACCTCGAAAGGGAGGGTGTTCTTGTATGGGGCGCCGTTTGTAAAAAAAATTATTTGGCTTAATTTTGTCATTTTTTTCGTTATTTATTAAATAAAGTTTTCTGATATGATATCATACGTCAATGATTTGATATAATAAATGTTGATTTCAAATCATGCGTTTATGATTTGATATAATAAATTATTATTTAAAATCATGCGTTTATGATTTGACACAATAAATTCTGATTTCAAATCATACCTTTATGATTTGATATAATAAATTATTTTTTCAAATCATACCTTTAAGATTTGATATAATAAATATTGATTTCAAATCATAAGTTTATGATTTCATATAATAAGTTCTGATTTTAAATCATAAGTTTATGATTTGATATAATAAATCCTGATTTCAAATCATAAGTATACGATTTCATATAATAAATATCATTATTTGATATCAGTAAAACCATGATTTAATTTAATAAGTAATAAGTAACCACGTGACTTGGCACGTGGGTTACTAGCGCGGGAATAATCGTAAAGATGGCGACACAACCAGATCAGCTATCGAGGTGAATCGCTTCTGCGGTCTCTAGAGCCGTAGAAAGGGCGGTTGACCAAGCTTTGGCATCCCTTCCGAGCCTTCCTGGCAATTCAGGTTTTGTTCCTGCGACACAAGAGGTATGTAACATTGATGTATCACTGCTAAAGCATCCCAGTCGCTGCCGGGGTGATGACCTGTGTGTCGATGTGATTAACAAAAAAATCATTATTGATGTCTTCCAAGCGCCTCATCTATTTCTTACATGTTGCAATGTATTTGCCTAGTCCCTAGGCCTCATTATTATGCGCGGCCGATGCGTTTCGGGTCACGTGGTCCGAGAAAGTTTTTGAGGCCTAGACAAACTCGGAGAAGTGAGACATTTTGTCTCACTTGGGGCGGAGCTTTTGGAAGCGGGCGAGCTGTCAATAACTTTTCCGCGATGATGAAAGATGTCCAGCCGCCACGGAGATTACGGAGCATTTTTATTCTATGTACGTTTTCATTGTTGAAAGTCCTTTGGCCTTTCGTATTCATTTATTTCATTAAACTAATTTGAACTTTATCTCATCTCAAAAACTATTTGTAGGCTAAGCAAAATAGCGTCGCAAAAATTTATTTGATCAAGAATCGGAAGGTAAGCTAAAGAAATAAGTTTATATTTATTCTTCGATATGAAAAGCTATCTTTCGTTTCTCTATTTTCTCTTGCTCCTATAAATTTCTCGCCATCATTTCACTTCGAAATATTTTATGTAATTTAATTTTGGGATTTGGAAGCTTATCAAACTTATCGGACAGGCTGTTGAATTTGGTCTCTAAATTTGGTAGAATGTCAACAAACTACTGTTTCAAGTCTTGTTATCAATAAAGAAATATCATTTTTAATTAATGGTTCATTTGAAAATAAACTAAAAGAGAAATTACTTGCACGTTACAGTAGTATTCTTTCCGATTCAAAGTAATATTTTGTTCTTTAATAACAGAAACCAGGTTAGTTATTTTTACAATAGTGTCAATAGTGCCGATCTTGAAGCGAAGGATATTCACGCGCAAAGTTATTTATAGATTTTACCGTGTGAACTTTTCAAAAATGCAAAACTGCTCACGCATGCGCACTCCGAGATTGTCTAGGCGTCTCCCGGCCGTTCGCCTCGGATACGTCACCGAAATGCATTGACCGAGAGGGCCTGGAAAGACGCCGTACAGGGACTAGGCAAGCACTGCATCATTAGTTAAGGGGATTGCACGTTAATCGGAAAGCTATGACTATGACAGGTAAATCAGTTTCTCGCCTTACTTTGTGAAATAAAAACAATCATTCACTGTATGTTTTTTTAGTATGGCTACCAAAAGAACATAAAAAAAGGAAGCAAACACATCTAATCTAACTGACATGGTATTAACCATGAGCCGCATGTGTCACGCAATGCGCCAGACAAGCGAAAGGTCCAAAAGTCCTCTTTCCCTCGTAAATATAGTCATAGCTTTCCGATTAACATGCAACCCCCTTAACTAATGATGCAGTGCAACATGTAAGAAATAGATGAGGCGCTTGGAAGACATCAATAATGATTTCTTTGTTAATCACATCGACACACAGGTCATCACCCCGGCAGCGACTGGGATGCTTTAGCAGTGATACATCAATGTTACATACCTCTTGTGTCGCAGGAACAAAACCTGAATTGCCAGGAAGGCTCGGAAGGGATGCCAAAGCTTGGTCAACCGCCCTTTCTACGGCTCTAGAGACCGCAGAAGCGATTCACCTCGATAGCTGATCTGGTTGTGTCGCCATCGTTGCGATTATTCCCGCGCTAGTAACCCACGTGCCAAGTCACGCTGTTAATTATTACATTAAATCTTGGTTTTGCTGATATTATTATATGAAATCGTATACTTATGATTTGAAATCAGGATTTATTATATCAAATCATAAACTTATGATTTAAAATCAGAACTTGTTATATGAAATCATAAACTTATGATTTGAAATCAGGATTTACTATATCAAATCATAAATTAAACGAATGATTTGAAATCAGGATTTATTATATCAAATCATAAACTTATGATTTGAAATCAATATTTATGATATCAAATCATAAACTTATGATTTGAAATCAATATTTATTATATCAAATCTTAAAGGTATGATTTGAAAAAATAATTTATTGTATCAAATCATAAAGGTATGATTTGAAATCAGAATTTATTATATCAAATCATAAACGCATGATTTTAAATAATAATTTATTATATCAAATCATAAACGCATGATTTGAAATCAACATTTATTATATCAAATCATTGACGTATGATATCATATCAGAAAACTTTATTTAATAAATAACGAAAAAAATGACAAAATTAAGCTAAATCATTTTTTTTACAAACGGCGCCCCATATTCTTGACCCTCTGAATGAGACCGACCTATTTTGTCTTCTCTATGTCTACCTACCGCGATTGAACAAGAATCTCGCGGAGTTTGTTTCTGCTCATAACAATCACAAGATTTCTAAGGAAGGTAGTAACACTCCGGCCCAGATCTTTTGGACAAATCTACATTTAACAGCCTTTGGAGAAGGCCGGGACCCAAATGATGCATGGATGGGTGTTAACATCGACGAGCTTGCTTCCACCAATTTGCCTCATGTTCAAGTGCCTCCCACATCAAACCCCTTGCATGACACAGAGTACGAAGAACTACAACGTCTCGTTGACCTGTTAACCTCGACTTGTGGTAAAGAACTGTACCGTCGGACGGTTGACTTTGTGGGGAGAAAGTTATCAATTCATTGACATCTTAGCTTATTATTCACCTTTCTTTTTCCACCATTTTTTGTTTTTTTGGAAGTAAAGAAGTATATGTAAACGGAAAATCGCATTGAGGCAAAACGAGGCGAAGGTCATTGTTGCTCACACTTTACATAAATTAGTGTTTTCAAAATTATGGTTTGTAGTTAGCAGACATTTGTTTATTAGAAAATTAAAAAACGCCCTACTGATGAAGTGAAGTCTTAGTAAACAGTTAATGTACTAAGGCCAAGGTCAAACGACGAACTTTGCAGTAGTGAAGTCATCATGGTGACCTCTTTTATACAGACCCCTCTATAAAGATTGATTTCCACTGACGCGTTTTTGGCTACGCTCGTTAACGCCCGTAAATTTTAATCACGTAAATAAAATAGAGGCAACGTAAAAAGTGCTGAGGTTAAATGAGAAGTTGAGAGAGGGTCAACTTTTACGCTTACGAGCGACCTTTTATGCATTGCCTCTATTTTAGTTGCGAACGAAAATTTTACGCACGTACGCACGTAAAAATTACGCGACAAATCCACCCTAATACGGCGGACACTTCGCTCTGTCCCTTCGGTGTTCGTATTAGAGAGGTTCGACTGTACATGATTGGCGCGTGCAAAGCAATACAAACACCAGCGTAAGTAATGAAAAACAGTAACTTGCCTATCAAACTTAACATTTTAGAAAAACTAACCGCCCTCCCTAGCCTTTGAGCAAAATTTCAAAACTTGAACCAATCACAAACCGGTGCATGAGAGAGCAGATTCTTTTCTTATGAAAAAGCGGCTGACCTCGTTTGATGTCTGATGCGTTCGACAACGAACAGGCGAACTTAACTTACTTATTAAAATTTGTTTCGACTAGAACAAAACAATGAAAATTTACTTCAGAAATTGAATTACAAAGTCCGCGATGATATTCTTTCTAGCACTGTCCTAAATATTTGAAGCTCGTTAGGTATAATTTCTGCCCTTGTTAATATTGCACTATTAGTTGGTAACAAACAGACTTAAAAAACGATCATGATTATGAAAAACGCCTCTGAAATTAGTCAGAACAAGGACGTGACTTTTGTGTCCAAAACAAGGAGAGTTCAGAATACTGAAGTCCATTTTCTCCTTGAATTCATCATAACTGCCATACACGGTTGGTAACCTCAACGTTGTGGCGCAGGTATTGGCGGTTGCGAAAGCCATATCTGTAAAGGCGATAACGGGGCTGTTATAGAACCCTAACACGGGCGGTACATCTGCTCCAGTAGCGAAGGAGAGGACGTCCCCCAGGGTTGCTCGGGCGTCTCCGGCTAAATTGTAAAGAAAATAGGGCAATAGCTATTACAGTATTTAGCCTTTTCATGTGCAATCATTCATAGGTATGAAGGGTGTAAAAAACACTCTCGTACAGTTTGAATTCGACTTTTACTTCTCGATTCACTAGAACAATTACAGCAAAGAAAGAAAATACAGAATTAATAAACGAGGACCGAAAGCCTTACAAAAACGATAACTTAAAGTACAACAAATGACTAAGAAAACGAGCAAAAATTACAGAAAAAACTATACTTACAAGATCTGTACGGCAACTCCGGATACAACTAAGCGACTGATTTACATGAACCAAAAATAAGACTTTATACTAAACTGGACTGAAAATAATGAACCTAACGAAATTACAAAAATTGACAATAACGATTACGTAACGCAACGCCGAGACTAGAATACAGAAAGAATACGCATATGAAAAAGGCTAACAAAAGACTACTCCAAGCGCGATAACAAAGGCACTAATTAAACTAACTTTACGCAAAGCAAAACATGAAAAAATAAAGAATAGGAAAAAACTCTCGCAGTCTCTCGTGGCTACATGCCCGCCCCAATGAACTATCCAAGTCTCTTTACAGTTCATTAATAGAGTCATTACCTAGACACGAGCGTAAGTCCGCGATCCTTAAATAGAATTCTTAGTAGTGATGAAATAAATTCCTTTTTCACAGCTTCTGGAGAAAAAAAGGGTTCGTTTTTTTTTCTAAGTTCAATGTGGCGCTCTCTGTCCTTCAAGGAAGCATAACTTTGTTTCTGGCCTTGTAAGAACGGTTAGACTCGTCTTAACCTTTGCTGATCTGACAAATCCGTCTTTTCCGCGAAAGACATCAACAACTTTGCATAACGGCCATTTTCCGCGATGGACATTTTCATCTGCAATCAATACTAGATCTCCGATCTCCAAGCTACGACGAGGCTTCATCCACTTTGCTCTTTCTTGTAGATGTCGCCATCGGCGCTTGCTGTAACTATCTTCCTTGCCAAAGGACCCAACGGGCAAACTTGGATTTGATCTCAATAACAGCAGATGATTCGGCGTGAGAGGTTCTAGGTCCTTAGGGTCGCTACTCACTGGTGTCAAAGGTCGGCTGTTCAAAATACCTGCAACTTCGGCCATGAGGGTTTGCAGCATTTCATCAGTGACGAGTTGTTGTCCCAGCAAGGCTTTAAGGATTTTACGAATCGATCTAATGATCCTTTCCCACGCTCCACCCATATGAGTAAACGGCGGTTCTTCGGACATCAGTCTTTCCTTTGGAAGATCAACCATCAGCTGTTCCCCACGCGCGGCACCAAGTTTCTCGCACAGAAAACAGCCACTGATCACACGACGCACAGCTGATCGTCCTTTAATTACCCAATACTGGTGGCGCAGGCTAGACAAAACGTACTCTTGACCCAGATGACCGGTTTTCTGATGATGCTGCGAGATGATTAAATCTGTCACGTGATCTCGGTAAGGCAGAATGATTGGATGCTTTGCATCGTAGTCGATTAGAGGGTTTTCCAGTCGTCCTCCAACTCTTAGAATTCCCATCTCGTCCAGCAACGGATGAAGTTTGCGTATATGCCCAGCCATCTTAAGGTTCTTTAGCTCGGAAGTTGCCTGACGCGAGTGCTGTAATGAACCAATCCTTTGCAAGGCCTGGATGACTTCGGGAAATGAAATTCTCTGTGTGTGCTTGATAATCTCCTTTTCAGCTTCTTTCATTTCGTCTACCGACAGGACTCTTCTATTTACACTACTCTTAACTTTGGAACTGATTGATCTTCGACTGTATCGCTCAATGAACCACGTTCTAAACCTATGTAACCAGGCCACTGCCCTCTTTAATCTTTCCCATGATGAATGGCGCTCGATCAAACTTGAAAGAACATCTCCACTTTGATGGCCAGACGATGATTGGCTGTTAGACTGAGCACGTTCGATCTCTGGATCGTCATCGGATAACTCCGGTTCATGAGGTGTAGGATCACGAGGCCAAAATTCATCTCTCCTGGTTAGAAACTGAGGACCATTTAGGCACTTGCTGTTTGCACACATCTCTTCTACTGTGAGACCTCCACTAACTTCATCAGCCGGGTTGAGCTCGGAACTTATGTGTCTCCACTGGTGGGGGGCTGAGTTCTCGTGAATAACTGAGAGTCTGTTTGCAACAAACGTGTGAAATCTCTTCGACTGATTTCTGATGTACTGCAACACACAGGTGGAGTCTGAACAATATGTTGCTTGTGTAATCGGAACGTCCAATTCCTCTCGAACAGACTTGTCTAACTGAACAGCTAAGACTGCCGCGGACAGCTCCAATCTCGGTACAGTCATAGGTTTCAGGTGTGCTAGGCGAGATTTTCCAATAAGAAATGTGCAATGGATTCTATCTTCAACGTCTACCATTCTGAGATACGAGACCGCTGCATATGCTATCTGCGACGCGTCTGCGAAGTTGTGCAACTCGGCAAATTTCAAGTCTCCAAGGTACAACGGATTAACGCATCCTCCAAGAGAGATCCGAGAGAGACTGGGTAATTGACTCTTCCATTTCTCCCATCTTTCACCATCTTCATCACTGATTGGGTCGTCCCATCCAATTTTCTTTTTACAAAGATCTTGCAAAAACTTCTTTGCCGTTAGAACAACTGGAGCGACCAACCCAAGTGGATCATAAACGGAACTCATCATGCTGAGTATTCCCCGACGGGTATTTGGTCTGTCTCTTTTTGTTAACCTTGAAAGTAAACTCGTCTTTCTCTAAATCCCACTTGAGCCCCAACGTCCGTTGGATCGGTGGGTTTACTTTGTCCAGGTGAAGGTCAAGTACTGACGGGGCTCTCTCAGCTCGCGGAATGCAGTCCAAGACCTCTGAACTGTTACTCAACCATTTGGTTAATCGAAATCCTCCTTTGGACAGAATGCTTCTTAGCTGATGCACAAATTCCACAGCGTTTTTTGCAGATTTAACCGACTTGAGGCAGTCATCGACGTAAAAGTTTCTTTTGACTGTCCTGACCACTTCTTCCGGGAATTCGTCTTTGTTATCTTCTGACTTCCTTTTCAAAGCGAAGTTGCAACAACTCGGTGACGACGTTGCACCAAACAAATGAACTCCCATACGATGATCGACTGGTTGCTGGTTCAAGTCACCATCCGGCCACCAGAGGAATCTAAACGCGTCTTGGTCGTCTGGTGGTACTCTAACTTGATGGAACATGCACTCGATGTCAGCTAATAACGCGACTCGTTCTTCCCGGAATCTCATCAACACGCCAACTATAGAATTAGTCAAGTCAGGTCCAGTAAGAAGCTGATCGTTAAGAGATGTTCGTCCGTACTTTACTGCACAGCCGAAGACTACTCTGGTTTTGCCAGGCTTGTTTAGCACAGGGTGGTGAGGTAAATACCACAGCGGCCGCTTGTCGTCTACATGAACCTCGTTACACGGTACCTTTCTTGCGTGTCCCTTAGCAATGTACTCTTCCATGGTGGTCTTGTAACTTTCAAAGAGTTTTTCATCTTGTAGAAACCTTCTCTTCAGTACTTGAAGCCTTCGTTCTGCCATGGGCCGATTATAAGGCAGGAATGGTGGGTACTGTCTCCAGGGAAGCGCCACCTGATAATGACCTTGATCAAGTTTCACAGATCGTTCCATGATTGCAAGAGCTTTCTTGTCTTCCACTGAC